TCTCTCGCTTGTGTGTGTGTGTGTGTGTGTGTGTGTGTGTGTGTGTGTGTGTGTGTGTCCCAAGGGCACAAAATTAATAATTGACAAAAGTGGGGCCACAGTTTCTTTTGGTTTTATAGCCTTACACATTCAACCTCATTTGCCCAGAGGCAGATCCTGTGACTGGGGTAGACCTTGGCGGCTATTCTCAGAGACAAATGTTTTCTGCTTGAAAACAAAATGATTGGGTTTATGGGACGGTGGGCAGTAGGTGGTGAATGAGGGGATGGATGGATCAATGGTCTGGTTGAAAAGCCTTCCATTTGTAAGCCGGTCCTGTGTAAGTCAGGAAGACACGGGTTGAGAGAAATGGAGAATGAAATGTTTCCATGTGCCCGAGGGAAGAGTGTCTTCTCCTCACTGTGTGTGCCACTGATCTTGAGATGGGTTACTGGCTTTTGTGTTGTTACTATAGTGACACATGTAGGTACCTGCTCTACATCTCTGAAGTCTTTTCCAAAGACTTATTTCATTGATTGATTGATTGATTGATCGATCGATTGATCGATCGATTGATCGATCGATCCATTGATGATCTATTGATTGATTGCTTTTATTAAATGGGGGGACATTTCATATCACATGTGTAGTGGTCAGAGGACTACTTGAGGAGGCAGTTCTCTCCTTTCACCACGTGTTTCCCTGGAATTGAACTCCGGTCGTATGGCTTTGCAACAAGCACCTTTATCCTCTGAGCCATTTCACTGACCCTATTTATTTATGTTTGACACAGGGTCTCCAGCCCAGTTTTGACTTAGACTCCCTCTGTAGGCAAGGATGGCTTTGAACTTCTGATCCTCCTGCCTCTGTTTCGTAGGTATATTTTAGTCATGTGCCACCACACCCAGTTTTATATGGCGCTGGAGATCGTGCATGTTAGGTGAGCCTTCTAACAACTGAGCCACACCCCCTGCCTCTCCCAAGATGCCATAAGAACCACATCAAATTCAGGTACATGGGGAGAGGTTTGGAAGTGTGGCCCACCCCTGGGAGACAGGTGTTGAGTAAGGTTCCTTTGCCCGGTAGACTGTCTCCATGTCAGAGAGATTTTTAAAGCCAAGCCTCATAATGGAAAGACTGCTGCAACCTGCTATCAGCAAGAGCGATATTAAACTGGCCCAGAGCCAAGAGCACGGCATGGAGCCAGCGGGGAGAGATTAGTATTGCAAGTAAGATTGTAGGCTCAGGGCCAGCAGAGGTGGTGCTCTCCCCCCCACACCTCCTACACACTTTTCATTAAAAAATAATAATCCAAAGGGAAAGGAGTGGGATAAGCAAAGTTGCAGAAGAATTCTTGTTGAACACCTCTCACCTCTCACTCAGATTGTGCTCCTGAGATACCTACGTCAGCGTGCAAACAGACCACTGCCTGTCTGGAAACTTGGCCGTGGCTTGACCTTAAAATGGTCTCGGTAAGAACTCTTCCGACCTGCCCCACATGGCCATTCTTGATTAGTCTGTTTGACAGAGGGGGCCACAGGGGAATTATATGCAGCAAACCCATTCCCACTTAGAGGGGGAAAAGACTGTCCTGTCCGTGGGGTCAGACTGGCTTCCTGCATCCTGCTGCTTCCAGGGAGGCCAATGCGGTGGGTTGTAGGCTATGGCATCTCTTCCCCAGTGGCGGTGCATCATCTCAACACTCAGTAAGGCCTGTGCCTTTATGTGTACTGGTGTTCTGCCTGCATGTGTATATGTGTGCACCATGTCTGTGGTACCTGAAGAGGCCGGAAGAGGGCGCTGGAGCTGGAGTTACAGACAGACATTGTGAGCTGCCTTGTGGGTGCTGAGAATCAATCCAGATCCTCTGGGTTGCTCTAACCACTGAGACATCCCCCAGCCCCATCTCTACTTTATTTTTTGAGGCAATCTCTAACTCAGTGGTTCTCAACCTTCCTAATGCTGTGGCCCTTTAATACAGTTCCGCATGTTGTGGTGACCCCCAACCATAAAATTATTTCATTGCTATATCATAACTGTATTTTTGCTACTGTTATGAATCATTATGTAAACACCTGATATTCATGATATCTGATATACAACACCTATGAAAGGGTCATTCAACCCCAAAGGGGTCGGGACCCACAGATTGAGAACTGCTGCTCTAACTGCACTTGAAGCTCACTGACTTGGCTAGTGTTAGCTGGCTAGTGGCTCTAGGGATTGATCCCCTTGCTCCCAGCTCACTCTGCTGGTATTACCGACATGCATCACTGTGTCTGCTGGTATTACTGACATGCATTACTGTGCTTGCTGGCATTACCAGCAAATATCACTGTGCCTGGCTTTTTAGGTGGCGAGGATTTGAACTTGGGTCCTTAGGCCTGCAAAGCAAACATTTTACACACTGTACCATCTGGTCAGCCTAAGGCTCCACTTGTTCCCTTTAGGGTGTTAACTCTCTGAGAGTCCAGGAGAAAGGTCAGCTCTCAGAGTTACGTTGTGCAGTGGAGACAAGGCAGCTATCCCAAGACCTGGTAGACCCCCCTACTCCAGGCCAACTGCCAATAACCTGAACCCCAATGTGGGCAGGGGTCTGTGGTCCAAACAGCTCTCAAAGACTGTATGGTGTACCCAGAAATCCTGCTTTCCCCAAACCTGCATAAGATATACTATGAGGAGACTCCAACTTATTCTTTTGAAAAACCTTACACTTCCCAGAAGTTTGCAGAAACATAAAACCCATTTCAGAGCCTCCGATTGCTAGAACTTCTTTCTATTCACTCTGTCTCTGTCTCTCTGTAAATATTTACATATTTTTTCCCTAGAACCCTTTGAGAGTAAGTTGCAAGCACAATGACCCTTCACCCTTGAATACGTCAGTGTGTGTCCTAGGAACAAGGACTTTCCTTTACGTAACCAGAGTGCAAGGATTAAAGCCTGAAAGTTTGTCATTGACACAACGGTTTGCTCTGATACACGGGCATATTTACATTTTGCCAGTTGTCCCAATAACATTGTTTTGTCGTCTTTATTTCAGTCAGGGTTTCATGTAGCCCAGGCTGTACTTAAACTCTATGTAGCTGAGGCTAGCCTTGAACACCTGACCCTCCTGCCATCAGCCTCCATGTGCTAACATTACAGGTACCAGGCTGTTCTATTCCAGTAAACACCTTCACTATTGGTCTTCAGTCCATGACCTCATGTTGCCTCTCATTGTGACTTCCTTGTGACGCTCCTTTGGTTTGGAGTGGTTTTTCTGTGTTTCTGAAAAACACTCATTCTGGTTTTCCTGGTTTTCCTCATTGTGTCTCAAGAATTAGATTCCCACCATGCCCCTTCCACAGGAATTCTGTGGTAGTACTTTGTGGTCTTTATGTCCTTTCCAGGAGTCCTTTCCTCAGCATGGATGGCATCCCTGTGTCCTCTTCTCTGGCATTTGAGAAGACTCTGGTCTCCTGTATTTTTCCATGCGGTGTTGCAGGTACTGGGGCCAATGGGAGGGCTCACTGCCTGCCAGGGTTCCAGCTGTTGTTACAAAATCACCCTGCGGTAGAGCAGGAAGAATCCTGGGGCCCCGCTGACCCGAAACCTGGCCTCTAACTTTTCCTGCAAAGTGCTTTCAGAGCCTTCATGGAGTCATTCATAGCAGATGTACTTAGCTCTTAGAAAGTGGCTCCTGAGAGTGGACACTCGGGAGACAGAGGCAGGAAGAGCATTTGAGCCCATGAGTTTGAGATCTGCCTGAGAATTATAGTGAGATTCTATTCAGTAATGGTAATAATAAACCAACCATGAGCAGGGGTTGGGGGAATGTAGCTCAACTGATAGAATGCTTGCCTGGCATAAATGAAGCCCTAGGCCCATCCCAAGTACTGCATAAACTGGGTGCGGTGGAGCACATCAGTAATCCCAGCATTCACCTGGAGGGAGGAGAGTTGACGTTCAGGGGCATCCTCTGCTACATAGTAAATTTAAGGCTAGCCTGGGCTACATGAGACCTTGTGTTTGGGAGAAATGGGAGAGAGGAGGAAGAAAACATAAAATCAGAACAGATATAGATCTGATTGTATCAATAAAAACAGGCTAAGTTCACTAGCTTCAAGCTTGCCTTTTGTCCCTAATTTGGGTATGTCCCTGGGGTGGTCTAACCTTAAGTAGTGCTCCCGTGGATGTGGTAACTCACTGGCAGTGCACGTCCCTAGGTTTGGTCCTCAGCCCTCACCCTCCTTCTCCATGCAGACAGCTGTGGCCCTTTTAAGGATTAAGATCCTTTTCAGTGACTTTCTCAGTCAACCCATCTTCACACCGCTGCCAGAGAGGGAAGGAATCGGACAAGACCCCAGGTCTGACTGTTTCCGGTAGCTTCATTGCCGGATGCAATTTCATCATCTGGTCATGGCTCTCCTCGGTGCTATGCATTCCTGGAATATCCAGTGGTTGTAGAAACTTGAGCATCGGCACCACCTGGGAGCTTGTTAGACCCTCAGTCCCAACCCCAAAGGCACTGAGTCAGAACCTGTTTTTAAGCAAACAGGATTCCCTGGGGTGTTCTAGTACACATTAAAGCAAGGGATTCATTAATAGAACACACTAGAAGGGCATGTCCTAGGTAATGAATTCAAGTCATACCTCAGACTGTGGTCCTTGCTCCTAGGGCATGACTCTCAAACTACCCGCTCTATTCACAAGATTCAGCCCTAAAGTTCAATTTGAAGTTCTTTTCTCCCCCCAATCCCCACCCCATACTCATGAATAAAGAACCTCATTGGGAGATCTTGGTCTGAATCCTACTTTTTTCTTACATAAATTTTTTTCTAAGCTTTGACATCTGCTGCTACTTGTTGGCTCACAAGATGTCACCTGCTAATAGACTAAAAAAGGGGGGGGGGGAATCCAACTGCCAGCAAACATGCTAATTTAAAACTCAGGCCTTGAATGCCATGTTGGGAGCCAGCAAGATGGCTCAACAGGGAAAAGCGCTTGCTGCCAAGCCTGATGATCTGAGTTCAATCCCCGGGACCCTCCTGGTGGAAGGAGAAAGCCAGTCTCCGAAGGTTATTCTCTGACCTCTACACAAATTCCTTAATAGGTGCACACAAATACATATACACATTCAAATAAAAAGCCAGAGAAGGGTAAAAAAATATTTATAGACTCTTCATTCAATGTATATAACAGTTCAGTAAAGAGAAAAATAGAACACAAGAGTTGTTTCATTTTTTTCTTTTTTGACCAGGGTCCTTCTATGTAGCCCAGGTCAGCCTATTACTAAGTTTGCATTTGCATGCCAGGTAGTAAAAGAATGAGGGTCTGAGGGATGCACGGACGAGTGAGAGTCATCAGTGAGGTCCCCGAGTGCTAATAGTACTGGTGTCCTTCCTGGAACTCTAGCAACAACTGCTTACTAGTAAGATCCTTGTTCAGACTTGCAGAAGTCAGCGAAATGAAAGATGTATTGTCACCTGCTAAGTGTATCTCACCGCCCATGTTCAGACAGCTGTCCAAACCTGTGTCACCAAAAAAAGCATTTACACTGTATCCCCCCGTGGTTTTACAAAGAGAAATCACAATGGATAAGCTGTGGCGATAGCTCAGTGGTAGTACTAGCATGTGTGAGCACGTGTACTAGCATGTGTGAGGCCCATCTCTGAAAAATGATAACAACAGTCACAGGAGGGGCTGGATGAGTTGCCCAACAGTTAAAAATATGTGCCACTCTTCCACACAACTCAGGGTTGGTTTCCAGCACCCACATCAGGTGGCTCACAACTGCCTCTAACTCCAGTTCCAGGGTATCTGGTGCCCTCTCCTGGCCTCTATGAGCACTGCATCTGTGTGCCCATATGCAGAGATAAGCATATCTAAAATTAAAATCTTTTAATCCCAGCACTCTGGAGTCAGAGGCTGATGGATCCCTGAGTTTGATCTACAAAGTGAGTTCCAGGACGGCCAGGGCTACAAGAGAAACCCTGTCTCAAAAAACTAAAAACAATACTTCTAATAATAACAATAAAATCTTTTTGATTTTTAAGTTAAAAAATAAAAAAAATCACAGTTAATTTGGTTCTTCTTGTTACATCTGCCCTTATTTCAAAACTTAAGAAACAATAGGTATTTGTTCAACTTTTCTTGGAGTGTTAGTGATACATGACTAACAAGACTAACATCGGCCAAGACAAACCACCAAGTAGAGATGACGTTCCCTTGGCGAGTCCATCAGTTAGAGGTTAGTGCCTCTGGGAGCCCACGAATTCAGTCATGACCAAGTATCATCCTCACCCCTAAATGAATTCACGATCACACACTGCTGCTTTGTAAGAGCCACTGTGATCTTGTGAGATGAATTGGTGTGTGCCAGGAAGATCTGAGGTGGAACCATCCTCAGGGCAAATGGGGAGCAGGAGCCAGCATAGAGGCCGAAACAGTGTGCAGAGCATGGGAAGGAAGCTGGAGACCCCTGGGAGCAAGAGGGACCTGGGCAGAGCCAGGAGGAGGGAAAGGAAGACTTTGTAGGCAAGGCAGTCAATGAGTGAGGTAGGCACACTAAGTCTGTAATCCGTGTGCTGCTGGGGACCCTGCCAAGCTCTTTCACACCCATTATCTTCCCAGGTCTTGACCGTTTGGCAGACACTTCCAGTTGATGAGATGCCCAGAAGGGCTTCCTGAGGTCCCCTATCTTCTGGGATACAGTTTCAGAATTAGAACCAGATATTTTTCATTCCTGGGCTCTGATCTTTCTCCCATAAACAGATATGTTCTAATAGCACTGAAGAAACTGGCTCAGTTTATTGGTAAGAAAATTCATGGGCAGGTGTATAGGTGGGTGGGTGGGTGGATGGATGGATAGATGGGTGGATGGGTAGATAAAGCAATCATGGATAGAAGATGATGGGTGGAGACATGGTTGGGTGTGGGTATCAGAAAAAGGAATTCTATGGTTGTCCCTATGAGAGAGATTAGAGGTTCTGTCATGGAGATAGATGGTGTGACACAGACACTATGGAATACATAACATGATGGGAGAATGAGAAAGATCTCAGAGCATGAGATAACACCCAGGTTTTCATCTTGAATGAATCAAGGACCACAAAGATAACCAGGCTAAAACCTTAGAACCTGAGGGGTTGGGATGTGGGACGTGGTGAATATAGGTCCAACCAGAGGGCATAGTCATGTGACATAGAACTGCACATCAGGAAAAATGTCTGGGGTATCCAAAAGGCTTACTGTGTCATCGGAAATCAAACATTAATTTATTACAGATGTTCACTATAGTAGTGTAGATAGCATGGAAAATTATCATGGGCTTGGAATCAATGGTAGAGTACTTACTTAGTATTTATGAGACCTCACATTCTATCCTAGCGCCAGAGAGAGAGAGACAGAGAGAGACAGAGAAGAGAAACATGTTTATTATTTAAAACAACTGTTCTATTCCATGAGAAGAGAAAGACAGTGGGGGGAGTCTGTTACTTGGAGATGATGTCACACTCAACCCAAAGCTGATTCATATAGAGGCCTGGAGAGCATAGACGGAGCAGTGGGCAGGCGCCTCCCCACTGAGGAAAAACAAAATGAACAGACGCAGCCAAGGGCCTGTGGCCTCGCCATATCATGTCCTTGGCAAGAGCTCTAGATACCGACCTCCTCATCACCTGCTGGGTCAAGCCTATCTTCCCTCTTGCCAAGGATGGGAAGCTCCTTCTAGAGGCTTCCACAGCTGTCTTGGGTGGGGACAAGTGAAGTTCAGCCAGGGTGCTTTGCGTGGTTCCTGACTTTGTCTCTGAAGGGATTTTACAGCCCATCCACACCGAAGGGAAAAATCAAACAAAACACAGCCTACCAGGAAAACGTAACAGTTTGTTCCTTGATTTTGTTTTCTCTGATAGTAGATGCAATCTTATGATTTTTAAGTGGTTTTGGGCTGGTGCCCAATGCATTGTTTTGCCCTGAGAGGCTCAGCAGGAATGAGCTAGATGGAGACACGGGCCCTGAAGATACCTCACTTGGTGAACAACAGAAGGGAAAGTCTCTGGCCTCTGGAGAGTCAGGCTGTAGGCTTCTTCCCTTTGCCTGCTGTCACATGGTGACCCCAGCCAGACCCCAGCAAGCCATCTGTCCCCTGTCTTCCCTCAAGGCTGAGTTAGTGGAAAAGCACATATCCGTAATTATTGTGTGTCAGAAACTCTGCCTCTGTGCAAAGCACTCATTGTGTGGGCTTAAAAAAGGAAACAGAAAAACAAAAAAACTTCAGGGAACCAAAGTCACCTCCAGCAGACAGACACCAAACAGGGAGCTGGTGAAGGCCAGGCCAACATGGGCCTGCCAGCAGTTTCAGGTTCGATATCAATTTGTCAACTGGAGAGAAACCCAGCCGTTCCCGCTCCCAGAGACCACCTTGTGAACAAAATAGGAAAGAACTGGGAGAAATTGGAGCTATTTTAAGCACAGTTTCTGAGATTTATTTTTGGACCTATTATTGATCCTACTGCAGGGAAACCATACACTGTCCCTGAGCCAATATCCACACCTGCCCACGGGAGGTGCTGGCCCGGACTCCTGGGCCCATCTGTGTCCAAAGGAGGCTGTGGCCCAAGCAGGGGGAGGATTTGCTCCAAGGCTGCCCTCTGCACCAAAATCAGAACAACTTCTGAAAGGACCTTGTCACAGCTACCCTGGGAACTGAAACTTACCAGTTTTTTTTTTGTTTGTTTTTTTTTTCACCTTTAAAAGCTTTTTAGTTAATGAATCCAGCGGTGGCTTTGTGATCCTATGGCTGTACTACTCTGCCTCCCCCAAAATTAGTTGTCACAGCCTGGAGCAGCTGATTAGGACATTGGCAGTGGAGTTTCCTTATGCTTCCCATACCCCCACCTTACCACCCCATCTGCACCCAAACAAATCTCTTTCTGCGTTTGTCACTGTGTTACTTTTGACTGAGCTTTCTTGAGTCTTCTTTGCTGTTAGCCTTACTCACATGACCCTGAGGATCACCAGGTCCCCTGTGGGGGACTTTGAGGCATGGCTTGAAATAGTTGAATGCCCTCTTATTTTGCACAAGTCCCTTTTAGACTAGAATCCTGGATTCAAAGTATCCCTTCCCTCAAAGGCATTGCTGCCGTGAATTCTTGTCTGCCATGCAATCCTTTTTCCTGTCTCCGCCTTACCACTTTACCCAGCATCCTCTGCTCTTTTATCTCATTGTCCCCATTCTACCGCGGCATTCACTCACTGGTGGCTTTATGTTGGACCTCACCAAAGAGCCATGGCCCTGAGTTATTCCTGCCCCTCCATCTCTCAGACCAGTTGTGCTCATTAGGCTTCTGTCTGTTGTTATAAATTTGAGGTAGGCGGCCAATGGAAAGTCCACATGTGTACCTTGGGGGATCTCAGAAGGTCATGTTTGGTCATTGAGAACAAAGTCTGGTTGCCTTTATTGGCAAATGTTCAGGGTGGTGCTCACCTTAGTGGCCTGGATAATGAAGAAAGGATCCTGGGAGTCGAGGACTGCAGTACAAATCTCTCCAGCCAGCAGGCAGAGCACACTATGCTGGAGGCCAGAAGTTGCACTCAAGGTGCCATGAGCCCACGCCTCTCCAAAGGCCCTCTGGAGCTGCCTTCTCTCCCTCTTCCTGCATCTGGGGGCACCAACCATTCCTTGGCTTGTGGCTGCATCACTCCAGTGTCTTCCTGTCTCTATGATGTTTTTCTCCTATGCCAATTGCTCTTCATCTTCAGCATGTCTCCATCCTCTCCACTTCTTACAAGGGACCATCCTCAAGCGGGGATTTCATCGTAAGATCTTTAGCTAATTACATCTTCAAAGTCCCTGTTTTCCAATGAGGTCTTTCTTGAACCTTCTGATAGATATGAGTTGGGGAGGAAACACTATTTACTATAGGAGCCTTGATAGCTGTGTTGAAAGAAGAATCAGCACACACCACGCAACCCAGGAACCCCACTCCTGTGTTCCAACAATATAAAAACCTATCCACAGATGCCTTTAGCAA